ACACTCTACTTAGACATGCTTTACATGAGGTCTTAAGTTGCTTCTGGAAGCGGTATGAAATCCAGGCAGAAAAGTTTCTATTTAGAGTAGTTATGGTGGGATTACCAGCAATCACTAGATAAAACAAGAATAAGATGTTGCATCCCATAATTATTTACAATTGCCATTGATTGCTTCCAGGGGTGGTGTGACTATTGCCTCACAGATAATTCTGAAGAGAGCTTGATGATGTGGAAAACCTATGATTTCATCTTCATGTTTCCCACCCCTGCGGAAAATGCTATGTTATTACCCATGGTCATTTAATGATTCAATTTAACACTGGAAGAAACACCTGAGAACTAGTCACACTCTCCTAGTAGGCTGGAGAAGCAATAATTAAAGGACATTTCTTTTAATTAAAGCTAGCTGAAAACTCCTCAACAGTTTCTATGTAATTTGAAACAACGTGTTTCCAGGAGTGAGTGTAATAACACCTATTGCTTTGATTGACAGATTTTTTTTTGCCAGACTCGAGAAGTGGCTCAATATCAAAAATGCAGACCATGTGAGAGATTTTCACCAGTAGCTGAGGCACTATGCACATCACACGGTCTTGGGTTCTCTCTGGAAATGCTAGGCAGGCTGAGAGTCATGGAGGTCAAATACCACCTACATTTGGAGAGATACAAAGGAAAACACTGTGGCCCGAATATGTCTGAATCATCATTACTTATCTGTCTAAGGTGTTAGATTCCCAGCTCCAGGGAGAACAGCAGAGGCAATAGTATCAATGGATTGAGTAGAACTGGGCTTTGGAAATTCCCATCCCTTTAAATATGGCCTTGTTATTTCCAAGCTATGAGACCTTGGTCCAATCAGTTAATCATCTGTGTCACAGATTTCTCAATTGTTAATGATGATAGTAAGTAGCTTCGCTCAGAAGATTGTTTATGAGAATTGAAGAGCTTTACCTTTAAATAGCCTTTCACACTACTAATGCTTGATAGGGAAAGATGTGTTCCCATGCTCACAATGGAAAAAAATATGGTTCTAATTTTACTTAATGGACAGACAAGCTAGAATTCACAAACAATAGTGTGCAATGCTTTTGAAAGGTGATGATTTTGTGACATTGGGTGGGCACAGCTTTATAAATATACTTCTAAAATAGAATCCTTCCTTAAAGAATTAATAAAGAGGGACAGACTAGCATGAATGACATAGGGATATGGTCTGTCTTTCTTATAATAATGCTATATGAAATACGATCTCATGTAAGCTAGAGAATATGGTACATCAAGCATCCGTTACCTAATCATACCATCAGCTCTATACCTTTCTTTGTCTATCTTTTTAAGCAACACTTTTCCTTATTTCTTTTGCTAAGGGAAAAGCTAAATCAAAATTAAAAAATAAACCTCCTGTCTTGTCTTCTGTATTCTACTAAGTCACTTTAGTGCTCTAGTTCTTGTGACTATATCTGCAACCTGTGGGAAGCCGCATTTAGGGAAAGACTGGTTCTTCAGAACTTTCCCATTGGCATATATCATCATCATCTCTGTGACAAAGTAGAAGGACAATATTTATTGCTGTTATTTATATGAAACTTTTCTATATACACAAAGCTCATACACACAAACACAACAATGATAATGACAAAAATCAAGAAGAGGACAGAAAGTGGGGTAAAAGATGACTCTTCTTATTTTTTTAAAAGAACACTATAAATAATTTTTAAATAAATACACAGAGATCACAGTGACTCATAAACATGGGACAAAATGAGTAAAATTGTTGATAAAGGGCTAAAAAGATGACCCATTAGATACAAGTTGCTCTACTAGAAGACACATTTGGATCCCCAGCATCCACATGGGTGATTCCATTTCACAGTATCTGATGATCTCTTCTGGCCTCGGCATACACTACCTGCACATACATGATCACACACACACACACACACACACACACACACACACGCACACACACTCTCATGCAAAGCACCTATACATGATGCACAGAAAATACAAATAAATAAATCTTTATACATGTTGACCAAGAGATATCAACTTGGTATTTGAAAGGGCATTCCCAGCAAGGCAAAGCACGAACAAGTTTCAATGCAATGAGTCAGTCAGAAATGACTTATTATGGTAGAAAAATAAAGGCTGTTATCTGGGTGTGAGAATCTGTTCCAGGAAACAAGAGTGGCTGGTAGGCAAGCATGAAGACCTGCATTCATATTCTCAGAACCCATGTAACAAAACAAGCCATGAATGTTTGCAGCCTCATTACTGTGTGTGTGTGTGTGTGTGTGTGTGTGTGTGTGTGTGTGTTGGTGGGGGGGGGCAAAAGATAGAAGAAGATCTGGGGCTTGCTTACTACCAGCTGAGCTCCAGGTCCAGTGAGAGATTTTTCTCTCAAGAAAATAAGGCAGAGTGATAGAGCTGACACACACTTGATGTCCTAGTGTATGGTCCTGTACACACATTTGGGCACACATCATAGAAACACAAAGCAAAGGGAGTAAGAAAGGGAAGAAGGAAAGGAAGAAAAATAAATCACCTCGTTCCAAGTAGACATTTCTATATTGCTTGTCTAAAACTTCTTCAGGGTCCCTCTCCTCTTCTCCCTTCTCCTTTTTGCCTCTCTCTCCTTCTCCCCTTTCTTTTGAGACCCAGTCTTACTCTGCAATCATCTTCCTTAGTGCTGAGATTACAGACATGTATCATCCTACCCAGGTTGTGTAATGCTGAGGATTGAACTCAGAACTTTGTGCATGCTAAGCAAGCACTACTTACTGGGCTAAATCCTCAGATCCTATGATGTAGGTGGGTCATCTGTCTATGTGTTACTTTCATTGGTTAATAAAGAAACTGCCTTGCCTTTTAATAGGGCAGAAAATTAGGTGGGTGGAGTAGACAGAACAGAATGCTGGGAAGAAGGCAATGAGGCAGATGCCATGGAGCCAGCTGCCAGGTCAGACATGCTTCTCTAACACAGCTCTCTCTAGCTCTCAAATACCACAAGGAATTTAGGGAAGTATTTGGAAATATGAAGAGCAGGTGTCCTACATGTATTGGCCCAGTTTTTAGATGGTAGAGGCAGGAGAATTATGAGTTCAAGGCCAAACACAGCTACATAATAATTTTCAAGCCACCCTGGCTTTCATGAGACCTTGTCCAACCAAATAAGCAAAGAAACGTTAGCAAAGAAAAGGAAATAGGTAAACATTTGCTCATCTTTGAAGTAAGTATAGAAGTGAAGGATACAGAAAGGCAGTGGGCAGCTGAAATGAACCAGCCAGGTATCCCTGCATCACGTCATTCCAGAGTCTCACAAGAGGCAACGCATTTTAGACGTGACTTCAAGATAATAAAGAGAGATAGTTCTCCAGCTCCTGTTGTAGAGCTCATTGACTCCTAAACAACACTTTTCTGGTGATTCTGGATTGCTAAAAGAAGGAATTCATATACTATCCTGTGAGTTAGTTCTTTTTACTCTATGTAGAGAGGCAAAAGCCTGCAGGCAGGTAACCTACCTGTTCCACAGGCAGCTTAGGATAAACTAAGGTTTGCTCTTCTACCTCATGGCAGAAGTTTGGATACAGAATCTAACACTCACTAAATAAGATATCAAAATTACACCAGAATGTTCCAAACCTTGTTCTGTTTATAGATTTTAAATTGAGAATACAAAAGCTAAAATTAGCTATTGCCACTTGCTTGGTTTCCCAATTGCCATGGAAGAAACCACCTCTAGCAGAATTAGGAGCATGGTTAAGAAAGCTAAGATTATGATTTTCTTGGCTTCATTTCTGTTCTATATTGTCTCCCTTCTTCTCCTCCCACTCTGTTTTTTTCATATGCATAGCACTTTATAACATGCAGTTGGCTGTTTATGCTTAATAGACATTGTTATTTATCTGTATGTGAATTCTTACTATAAACTTATTTGGATCTATTAAAAACATGAGGGTACATGCATAATTTTAGCACACTATTAAAAACATGACATAGGGAAGTATGGATAGCTAACACTCATACAAATGTAAATACCTATATCATATATACCTATATTTATGGACTGAATGTCTATGCTCTTCCCAACATGAAAATTAAAGTCCTAAACTGAAGTCATATTAGCATTTGGAGTTGGAACATAACTCAGTTTATAAGAGGTTATGAGGGTGAGGTAACCATGGCTGAATTTGTGTCCTTGTGATGAGCAGAAGACAGACCTGGGCCCTTCTTCCTTCTACTACATGAGGGCACAGCTGTGTGCTGGTCATCTTCAGGCCGACACGCAGAAACATCAGCTGTTCATGTCACCAATCTATACCATTCTGTCACAACAGCCTGAGCTGTAGAACCCTATGCCCGTATATCTTTGTCAATTAACAGAACGTAGCTGGAAAACTAGGTGAGAAAAGAGGGCTGCTGGTCATTTCTCACAAAATAACAATAATGAATATAAGACTTTAAATGAGAATGGTGGACAAGATCTGCTATTACATCAATTAAGATCTATTTGTTTATACTGGAGACCTTTATTTGAATATGTGATATATGTGTACCAGATGCTTTAATCAATAACAATCACAGTGTCTTTTAAAAAATATCTCAAAGGGTCATCTAAATGAGTAGTCTTCAATCTGTGGGCCACAATTCCTTTGGCAAACCTTTATCTCCAAAAATATTTATGTTTACTCTTCATAACAGTAGCAAACTTGCAGTTGTGACATAGCAACAAAAATAATTTATTGATTGGAGCTCACCAAAACATGATGGACTGTGTTAACGGTCACAGTATTAGGAAGGTTGAAAACTACTAAATATCAAAGCAATACTTAGAAAGTACCAGCAGTTCACCAATATTAATTATCCATCAAGGGTTTATAATAAAAATGGTGACACAATGTTTAACAGTGTCTGAAGATGCTAATTTTCCCAGGGTCCCATTCTCTGCTCAGAGAGGTGACGATACTTTAGTAGGCCAGAAAATGGAGTCACACTTACCAGTAGAACCTATTTGGAACCACGGATTCCTGGATAAGCTGCCATCTTCTGCCAAATTCAGCAGAGCTGTACAACTGGAGAGAGAGAAGAAGGAGATCAGCATCGTTGGCCCTGGTTCTTCTCCTTGGATTCATCAGTAGCAACACCTGGCATTTCCAGGTGAGGGCATCACCTCTGTTTTCCAAGTCAGTTATATAGATCCACTTCTTCTCAATTCCAGGTATCCCATAAAATACTAAACAGAATATATATA